GGTCTGCAGTGGAGTCACTTCCAGTCCCAAACTGTTCATTCCTGAGCACCTCCTGGCTGCCAGCCTCCGTTCCAGAACTGGGCACAGAATGCAAAACCCAATTCGGCCGTGGCCTTGGGGATGTCTGAGACGAGGGGGGAGCAGACACATCATGGTGTCATTTGGAGATACTCATGGCCCCGGGGGCAGGAGGTTGGGGGGCGACACCAAAGAGCAGGAAGCCAAGATTTGATGCTCTGACACGGAATCAGGCCACAATGCAGAGGGGCCTCAGAGAGCCTCACTTGGCGAGGAGGAAACACTGGGTGGGCCCTGACTCTGGGTGCCAACAAGGCAAACGTGAAAGGCCAGCAGGAGAGGGAACCCCGCCGCCACAGGCATCCCTGAAATGTGACGGCAGAGATGCTTACTCACATATTGCGATGGAAGGGCTTGCTTTGAGTAAAAAATCAAAAAGATACAAGGGAGTGAGAGAGTATAAATATACCTGTTCACCAAGTGCTGGACGTAATTCAGCCTCATGGGGATGTCTCTTTGACGTTGGCTTGTTTTCCAGTGACCCCTCACCAAGTCTGTAAAAATGCGTCTAAGCAATCACTTGACTTCCCTCCAGCTCTTGGGTATCTCTTCCTTCAGAATAAAGCTGGAATAAAAATTCGCTTTTCCCAGTTGTGTTTATGCCACGTGCACATTGGTTTCAATGAGATAAGGACCACGCTCAGGCCCCTTGGAGGTGTCTTGCAACTGAAAATTGACATTTCGAGAAGTCTCACCTGTGCAGATGAGCTGAGCGCTGCTCTGTGCTGGGGAGGGCGGGGTGCCTGCTTGGGGGGCGCTCTGTCAGGGAGGCTGATCTAAGGAGAAACCAGATCGCTCAGGCGGGAATCAGATGTGAGGAGTGGTGTCGAGTGACTGCTAGAAACAGGCATTAGATGTGAATAAGTAAATAAAGAAGATAATCCCAGAGTGGTCAGAGGTTTAAAGAACACAAACAGAAAGTGAAGGAGGAGTAGGCAGGGAAGACTCCTTGGAGGAGGTGACGTTTAAGCTGATATCTGCAGGATGAAAGGGACCAGCGAAGGAGTGAAGGGAAAAGCATTCCTGGCAGAGGGGACATTAAGTGCAAAGGCTCTGAGGAGAAGGAAGGAGCTTGCCGTGTGCAAATGAAAGGAGGCCAGGTTGGGACACAAGAGGATTGGGGGGAGAAGGAAAAAGAACCGGGTTTTGCAGGGAGGGGCACCTTTGATTTTTTTCTCAAGTCTTTTGGGAAGCAATCGAAGAGTCATAAGCAGAAGAATCACAGGATCCGGAAGCTTTGAGGAAGGCAGTTCAGAGGCTGAAATTAAGGTGGGGGAGGGAGGTAGCCGTGGAGCGGGCAGACACCCACAATTCCAGAGCTATTTTGGACACAGAGTCCCGACGGGCATGGGGGAGGGTAGAGAAGGGCTCCACTTCTATTTCCAGATGTGGGGCTTGACTGCGCAGTTCACTGACGTGGCAAAGCCCTGGAGAACACGAAGCTGGGGCGTAGGAATTAGGAATTCTGTCCCGACCTGCATCTAGACGCCACGTGGAGAGGCTGTATTGACAAGTGGATCCTGAACCTGGAGCGGGGAGAAGTGTGGCGTGGACGTGTCTGTTGGTTTTCCAGAAATAGGACAAGAGGACATCACCTAGAGAGAACGTTAGAGGTCACACTGACGAAGTGGAGGGGACACAAAGGGAGGGAGAAGAAATTAGGGGACAGGAGGAAAACCAGGCGTGTGGCCCTCAGAAGTCAGGAGAAGAGAATGTCTTATGAAGAGGGTGGGCAATCAACTTCAGATGCTGCAGAAACACTGAACAGGATGACAGAGGACCATCTCTGTGGTTGTGCGTATCTGCAGAATCATTCTCAGCCAATGCATGGTAGCTCGTTATCCTGTGGACATACCATAACTCACGTACCCAGTCCTTCATCTGATAACCGCCTTGCTTCTTTCCAACACTTCATTTTTATAAAACAGCACTGCAACGAAAACCCTGTGTGTGCCTCCTCTTTACGATTGATCACATACTTTCCCAGGATCAGTTGCCAGACATGGAACTTGAAAAAGCGAAGGAAAGCCATAACCTAGAATTTCTTCACAGACCATCCTCCAGGAACGTTTTCTTAAAGCCAAAATTACTCCCTCAATTAACTAATTAAATTCTACAGCTAAAGGGGAACCTGGAAATCAAGCTCCCTTGCTTTTTAACTGAAAGTTACTAAACTAAAGAAAATAGAGGACATAGTCAAAGTATCAGAAGTTCAAGGTACATTCCAGAAGGTTTCATTATTTTTCTTTCTTTCTTTCTCTTGACCATTTTCCCACTCATTCATGCTAATCCTTCCTGCTAGCACCTTCCCTGCCCAAGGTGTCTGTCTCTCTCCCACTCTGTCCCTCCCTCCCCCTCTCCCCTCCCCCCCAACTATTCTTCCTTCCCCTCTCCGTCTCCCTCTCTCTACACATGCCTTGCTCTGATGCACCTAACAATCCCTTGGTTGCCCTTATCAACTCCTCTAGTTTGCCCTTTGTAACTGTATCTGAATAGTTTCAGTGAATGATTAAGCTGTGGTCAGATTTATACACATACCCCTATATTCAGCTACATTATAGAAGGCTTGCTGGGTTCAAAATATTCTTTGGGGTGAGCGAATAACAGAGAAGAGGGAGCATTTTCCTTTGAAGTAGGGGAGGAAGAGAAAGATCCTGAAAACCTGGATACAGCCTAGGAAATGTCTGCAGACCAGGAAATATGTGGAACTTGTTTGCACGTCTGCTTCATGCTTGCCGTGCTTGGCAGGTTGAGCTGCCGTTCACATCACACACGTGTCTGAGAGGACCTGGAGTATGGCACATCTGTCTAGGGTGGCTTCTGTTAACTGACCATTCTTGGTTTGTCCACAGGTGGGAGTCTTTAGTCCTCGTGCTGATGTATCTCATCTACATTGTCATAATGAAGTAAGTGAAATACTTTCTTAGTTTCTCTCCCAAAACTCTTTCCTACACTCAGCATTATGTGATAGTGTGGACAGAGGAACAGGGGACAGGGCGGGTACCTGTCATCAGAGGCTCACTTGGCTCCCTGGGCAGCCTGCATAGGAATCAATGCAATTTCGACTTAGAGCAAAAGCATAGACCCTTCCAACCCAAATGTATGATAGAATCAAAGCTTCGTGGTTTCATTTGAGAAATCTCTCAAACCCTTGCCCCTCTTCAGGACCTGACAGCCTAGCTTTTGGCTGTTTTCTCGCTCACTTTCATAACAAGAGAGGAGGTAAAGCTCAATGTGTTATGTTTCCATATAGGTGGAGGGAAGATGGGACGAGAGCTGGATAAGAGATAACTAAAACCATGGATCAAATATCTACAGGCTTCCGTTATTCGTATTGTATTAGTCAGCTATTGCCGCTTAACAAATGACCACAAAACTTAATGGCTTAAAACCACAAACGTGTATTATCTCGTACAGTTTCTGAGAGTTAAGCATCCAGGAGCAGTTGAACTGGAGGGTGCTAGCTCAGGGGCTCTCATGGGATTAGAGATAAGAGGTTGTCCAGGGCGGCTGTCATCCGTTTGGGGCTCCAAGACGGCCCACTCACGCGGCTGGTGAGTAGGGGCTGGTCGTTGGCTGGAGGCCCCAGTTCCTCACCATGTGGGCTTCTCTTCAGGGCCACTCTACTGTCCCCACACCCGGGAGCTGGCTTCCAAAAGAGCAGGTGATTCAAGAGAGAGCAGGAAGGACCCAGCAACACCTTTTATGATCTGGTCTCACAAGTCACACACCGTCACTACTGCCATGTTCTGTTTATTAGAAAAGAGTCACTCAGTCCAGTCCTCACTCAACGGGTCTACTTTGCCTTTTGAAGAGAGGAGTGTCACAGAATGTGTGGATGTATTTTAAAACCACCACATGCTTGTTCCCCTTGGAGTCTGGACAGCTTACCACCTGTATCAAGAGTTATGTCACTGATGTTTCCCGTACTCTAATGTAAAATGTAAGCACCGTGGTTGGAACCTGCCAGTTCATCTTTTTGCTGAGTGCCATGGAGTTGAGGAGGTTGTCAATGGTGCAGACTTATTCTGTGCTGCAGATTCCTGCCCCACGGGAGCTGTTCCTTTTGCTCTAAGTTAGTCCATACTCTCCCCAGCCTATGTGACTGCAGGAGTGATCACCTTCTCTAGGGGGCAGGACAGCAGACCGCTCTCAGAAACTGCCCATTTGGACCCGTCAGGTAGCAGTCTGCAATTGACATGTCAAGATTTCCTTGCTGTTGAGGCCTGACAAAGGTTAATTCTGGTGGCCGAGAGCCCGTTGGGAGAAATCAGTGTGGCCATTGACAAACGTCACAGGAACAGTGAAGGTAGGAGCTGGCTTGACCGATGGCCAGGGTGGGCTGTAAGCCATCTGCTGCCATTCCACTCAATGTAGCACCCAGTTTCCACCTCAGGAGCTGTCTCACCGTCAGTGCGGACCCAGTAACTGGGTCGTGTGGCTGGAAGAGGACATTTCTAGTGATAGAATAGAACCTTACCCAAACTTATCCTGGTGTGGAGTTACCATGAGGTAGCAAACAGAGAAACCAGATACTTTCACCACAAATCACCTTGCATTTAAGCATCCCAATACATCAGCTCCCATGAAAACCAGAGCTGGCCCAAAAGTTTTCCACAGTTTCTAGATTCCAAGGAAAAGCCTTTAAAGATGGAACGAGCCAACTTGTTACTCTTTCTCTCAAAGAACAAAACTACTATGGGATCGGTGCCACAGCCAGGAAGCCTCAACATTAGACGTCTTCTTTCAGCATTTTTTATTTCACCTTTTTTTTTTTTTTTTACATTTTGATGCTTTGAGACCCCAAAGAGTCAAGAGCTCTCATATTCCCTTTTGAAAAGGGAATCTGTCAATTATTCCAGAGAATTGACTGAGTGTCTGCTGTAAGCCCAACGTGGATCTAGGGTTTAAAATCTGAATTTAGATGAAAGCATGTCCCATACTGAATTCACCGGGGGCTGCACGGAATAAGGAGGTCTTCAAAAAGTGTTTTTCATCTGAAAAGAAGGAAGATTCAGGAATTTTGCTAGCGTGCATTCTGTGACCACAGTACCCCTCTACTGAGCCATCGTAATGCCCGTGAGTTGCCGGCGGGGCACGTGGACGTAAAGATAACACAGTGAACAATCTCCCTACCCCAAACCGTGCCCAGTGTGGAAGCTAATGAGGTGTGTTTCTGCTGATGCCTCAGCTTTACCAACCTCCCAGCTGTTCAGACCAGCAGGATACAAATAGACCCGGGAAAGGCAACTACTGTGCTCGTGGAATGTTCTGCATAAATTCTAGTCCTAAGTTCTAAATTGAAATCTCTGCTCTTTAGCCATCCCGCTCCATAATGAGAGGCTTTAATCACTGGGTTTTATAAAATCTGATTTATAAAATTGCATGCTTCACAATAAAATAGCTTCAGGGTGCAAGCACAAAATTTAAAACATTCAATTAAAAATATAAAACAGAGCAGCAGCCGTTAAAAACAGCATGCATTAGAATCATCAGCTGCCTCCTGGGTAGATGGCTTTAAAATAACTTTAAACATTCTGTCTGAAGGTCATAAAGCAATTCCAGTTTGGCCCAACAGGTAGAAACCTTACCGGAGCCTGAAGCATACCCGGCCTCAGCGAGGGTTGATTTCTGTACTGCTGGGTCACTTCCCTGGGGTTTGGTCCCCAGGTGAGGCAGTGTGGTCTGGTGGTTAAGATCGAGTGCTTCCTGTGCAGCCCCGGCCACGGGACCTGGGCCAGGTGATTCAGTCATTTTGAATCTCAGTTTCTGCTTCTAAAAACAGAATGAACAATGCTTCCTACCTGAAAGGGTGTTTGTAGGATGGAACATGATGGAAGAGTTAAGTAATTAACCAATATCTGCTTCCAAGAAAGCGCTTATAATAACACGATACATAGTATTATTATCCTATTATCCAAATCCAAATAAATGTACAACACACAGTTGTTAACTTTTAAAGCAAACACCCAGGCGAGTCAGTATTTCTGTGGGGAAAGTGGATTCTGAGTCAAGATGCCAGAAACGCCACGTCTCCCCTAGAGCCCCATCAGGAGGGGAGAGAAAGAAAGTGGGGAGGCCTTTCCATTAAGAAGAATGTTGACCGTGCAGAGCAGTCGGCAGACTAGCATGCTTGCCAGGAGCCCTACAACCATCAGCTAGCTCCCTCCACCCACACCCCTAGCAGTTTCCCTCTCCCCACGTGACCTGAAGCCCCAGACATCATGTCAGTTCACCTACCCAAACGTCAGTGCATTTCTCTTAAAGGACTCATTTTTCACCTACCCACCATGATCACAACTAAAAGAATGCTAATTCTTTGATACGAGTAAGTATCCAGTCAGTGTTCAAATTGTCAATGGTCCCAGAAATATCATTTTTAGTTTTATTTTCATCTCATAAATATTTTAAAAACCAGTGAGTTTCCTAGGATTCCTCTATGGGAGTCTTCTAATACCAACGATAAAGGGTCCAGGACATTTACCTGCCAGAACATCCTAGGAACTTGACTTAAGTTTCCTCCCTTCCAACACACATGGGAGAAGCATTGCACAATGTTTTGATTCTTTTTCACTCAATCGTTCTGGAGAATCATAGCCCAGAATTTTTTCCTAAAGCCAAGGGCGCAGCAGACCTGGAATTATGGCACAACAGTGACAGACATTCTCAGGCTCCCAGCCTGTGACCTCAGGAAACCAAAGGCAGACAGAGAGCTCGACAGCCAGCCCTCCTGTACAGGTGGACCGTGATGCAGAGCCCGGGGTAGCAGCAGAGACGGATGTGACGCCTTGACCTTCCTCCACCAAGCATGCCCCTGACAGCAAAGGCCCTGGGGACGTGGCCCAGAGGAGGGAGACCTTGCCCATCCCTCTGAGTCTCACAACAGCCCTTCCACGCACGCACAGACCCCGAGTAAGGGAACTCAATCCCAGAGGTCCCCCTGCTGACATGGAAGACTCTGCAGAGAAAGCAGTGTGTCCCTATGTATCTATGTGACGTTGGCTTTATTTTCACTTAGCGTATATTCTCAAGTTGGGAAATGGGCAGGTTGTATATTCTGGGGGAAACAGGATGATAACATAATAACCTAATAACTTAAGGCACAGGGTCCCCCACAGGCGTCCAGGCTCGGGGAGCTGCGGGGAGCTGGGAGCCGGGGAGGCAGGCTCACCCCGTGCTGATGGGCTCTTTCCACTCATGGCCGTGTCCAGATACAACGCCTGCATACACCAGTGCTTCGAGAGGAGGACCAAGGGTGCGGGAAACATGGTCAACGGCTTGGCCAACAACGCTGAAATCGACGACAGCAGCAACTGCGACGCCACCGTGGTGCTACTCAAGAGAGGTAACCCTGGGGGGCTGCGTCCCCCGCCAGGCCCCAGAGGATGTGCCTGCCCCCAGGGAGGCCTCCCTCCCTCCCTCACTGCATCGGGCAGGGAGCAGGTTCATCCTGGTGATGGGCAAACTCCGAAAGCCAGTGGAAGTTCTTGGACCAAACTTGCTGGGGGTGATATAGGGAAAGTGGGGAGATGGTAAAGGAGAGGAGGCCATGGGTGTCAAGGTGCTGACTCTGTCACATTCTGACTGAGTGACCATGAAGCAAGTTACTTAACCTCTCTGGGCCTCAGTTTTCTCTTCTGCAAAATGAGGATAACTTTTGTAACAAGTTAAGGAGATAAAGTCTGCAGAATACTGCATTAATTATAGTTGTTATTAGCGTATTATTATATCCAAATTCACTTTCAGGCTACATTACCTCAGTTTCCGAGCTGCAAAATGACAGAGGAAATTACCCATTTTTCCCCAAAGTAATGCTTACATTCAATAGATACTTATTAAGCAGCTGATAAACAAAGAGATAATACAGTGCTCTCTAATAATTTTCTTTCTTCGAGGAACATGGAAAATTATCATTTATGTTTGCCTAGAATGCGTTTCATTTTTCATTTAATTTCTTTTTAACTTTCCCCTTGAAATGTGTGGGTTTATTTCTTCGCAGTCCCATTTTGTTTGCTTTTCAGGCAAAACAAAAGAAATTAGAAAATCTATAGGTTATTTTCAAATACATATCTAAGTTTGAAATCTGTGGGTACTTATTAGAATTTGAAAATCAATTATTTGATATACTTTTCTCACTAGTTATATGCATGGTGAAAAAAAGACTTAGGAGTATTCAGTGCCATCCCACATAAGGATTTCATTTAGTTTCTTCTCTTCAGGGTAGTTCATAACCATGAAAGGAATACTCTTAGGGAACCAAAGAGAGCTACCTATTTTATTAGTCGGTGTTTCCAGAGATCATTTCATGGTTTAGTGGCCTGGAGAACAGGAGTGAGGCCTTGGCCAGGTACCCATGAGCTGTGTGCTCGTATTGTAGCATCCACAGAGAGGGGCTTGGGCCATGACGGAAGTTATTTTCAGGCCTGCCAGCAGATCCTGACTCAGGATTTGCCCTAAGCCCCCTCTGGACTCGAGCCCAGCTCCCCACCCCTAGCCCCCGGGCAGCCCTGCTCACAGGCTGGGCTGCAGCAACGTGGGCATCCCCCCACCATGTCCTCCACCTGGACTAATGTCAATTCTGCAGCTTGTAACAGCTCAGAATGAGCACTGCTGACATTTGAAGGGCATAAAGTGCTGCTAAAGACTATTGGGGTCTTTCCTATGCCCCAGATATGAGCGGCAGGGAAAGAATCCTTTGAGGACATTCTCAAGGGGGAGATTCTCTTATGTTATCACTCATTCTCACCATGTTAGTGAAGGACTCTTAAATTGTTTCAGGTCATTTCAAAGACGTATCGATGAGCCCCGTAGAAAGCAGATTTTAGGGAGGGAGGAAGGATAGATGGGTAGGTGGGAGGATAGATGAATGGATGGATGGGTGGATGGTTGATTGGATGGTGGATGGATAATTGGATGGACGGATGGATAGATGAATGGTCGGATGGGTAGATGAATGGATGGATGGATGATTGGATGGATGGATGGATGGATGGATGGATGGATGGATGGTTGATTGGATGGATGGATGGATGGATGGATGGATGGATGGATGGTTGATTGGATGGTGGATGGATGATTGGATGGATGGATGGATGGATGGATGATTGGATGGATGGATGGATGGATAGATGAATGGTCGGATGGGTAGATGAATGGATGGATGGATGATTGGATGGATGGATGGATGGATGGATGGATGGGTGATTGGATGGATGAAAAGGGAGGGAAGAAAGGAGGGAGGAAAGGAAGATAGGAGAAAAGAAGAGAGAGAGCAGGAAAGAAAGGAATGGAAGGAAGGTGAATGAATATCTCTTTCCTGCTTCTAGCCTCAATGTTATTTTTATTTTATGTTTTTATGTTTTTAATTTTCCCAGCCAATTTCCACCGCAAAGCGTCAGTGATCATGGTAGATGAGCTGCTGTCGGCCTACCCACACCAGCTTTCTTTCTCTGAGGCTGGTCTTCGAATCATGATCACCAGCCACTTTCCCCCCAAGACTCGACTCTCCATGGCCAGTCGCATGTTGATCAATGAGGTATCTGAGAAAGCACAGTCCATCTGCCATGGACGGGGTGGGAAACTGGGAAGGGGAGAAAGTTTCCTGGTCTGAAGATAGAAGCACCTACCTCAGTGTTTCGCACAATAATATCCCGCAGCCATTTCCCAACATCTCTGCTCTCTGGACCAGCTGTGCATCTTGGTCCTTGCCCTTCCCTCCACATGTCCAGAGATGTGGTCCAGCTCCCAGTTATGCAGAAAAACTCTTCTATCCCTTCTACCTACCTTCTTCTTTTTATCTTCCATCCGAATAAAGCCCTCCGATGTGAGTGCACAGAAGCAGTTGCTAAATCAAGGTTACCCTAGTTTAAAGTAATGCAGAGTCTCTGACCTGAATTTTCCTGGGTTTTCCTTTCTCCAGAATGGCAGCCTATTGATACAGTAGTCCAAACACATGTGTATGGCTTTCTCACATATGGACTGAGGAATTCCTACAATCTGGAGGAGCACCTTAACACCCTGGCACACAGGGAATCAGGAACCCTGATAGGAAAGCAGTGCCCATCTGAGACATGGGGATTCTCCTCTGAAGGGATCTGCAAGTTCCAGTGGGCCAGAAAGATTAATCCTTCCTCCCAGAGTTGGTTATCACTTTGAGGAGTCCCCTAGAACTTCTCTGCAGAGTCTTCCGGAAACACCTCCTTGCCAGCTGACTGGGAAATATCCCAATAGCTGGTGTTCTGGGTGTGAGGACTTGCAGCCCCTCTGGCCATATTAGAACGTGCCTTTCTTTTTCCAGAGACAAAGACTGATAAACAGCAGGGCTTATGCCAATGGGGAATCCGAGGTGGCCATCAAAATCCCGATTAAGCACACGGTGGAGAACGGGATGGGGCCCAGCAGCGCCCTGGACAGAGGTGTGAACGGGACGCGGGGGGACGACGTTGTTGCTGAGACTGGCAACGAGACAGAGAATGAGAACGAGGACAACGAGAACGACGAGAACGAGGGCGAGGAGGACGAAGAGGACGAGGAAGGGCCGTACACGCCGTTCGACCCCCCCTGTAAGAGGTCCCGCGCCTGGGCTGGGCTGGGGTCTGGAGCTATTTTGAGGCCGCTGAGTTGATGACCTTGACTTGCGTGACCTTTCTGATTTTAAATTCAAGGAACTATCTCTGTATCACATAGAAGTATTTATGTTAATTTTTACGGCAGATAAGACTCTATTGTAGGGGGTCCAAAGATGACCAAGATGGTGACACTCGGTCATGGGTTGAAATGTGGGCATTTCGAGAAGGCTCTCCCTCAGCTGTTCCTCGGGGTCCCCTGGAGCCCGTGACCCTGTTGGCCAGGCACATGGTGCTGGGGAGAGAAGGGCTTCACCCACCCCGTTGCAGTTGGTGGGAGGCTGTCCTGGCAAAGCCAGCCCTGGGGGCCCAGCAGCCCTCCCAGGCGGCCTTTGCTCTTCCCTCATCCCCATTCAGGCCCCACCTGTCCCAGGACCTGCTATTTCCAGGGTGGGCACCACAGGGGATGCACACCTGGGTAGAAAGTGCCTAAATCACACCGCGGGGCTGGCCCAGGGAATCTCCCGGCTCCTTGACGGGTGGAGGCACAGGCGGAGGCTGGTAAAGCTTTCAGGACCCCGGCCACCAGGGCAGTGCCCTTCTCCCCCGACTGCTGCCTCCAGCAAAGACTCGGCTGTTCCTGCAGCCTCGTCCCCCAGCCCTACCCATTAGGGGAACGGGTGGACCAAACCCAAAGAATTCTGCTAGACCTTCCAGAAGTTTCTGGCTGTTTCAAGAAAGAGTGCGATGGTCCAATTCGCATTCATTGCCAAGTGTGTGAAGTTTAATTAGCCTGTGTGTCTTCTCTGAGGTGCTGGGATGGATGGGGGCTGTAGGTTTTCAGGCGGGAGTGCTGGTTCCACGTGAAAGGCCGTTTAATGGTGAGACGTGGGCACAAGGTATCAGAGTCGCCTGTTACTTTTGGATGCAGGTTCCTTCTCTACCCCTCTTTGTGTCCAGGGACAGCAGGTAAAGCTCAGGGGGGCGCCGGGGCCCCCTCAGGGCTCCTGAGATCTCAACCTGGTCAAGGGCTGACCAAAACTAACTAGAAAATACCCACCCAGATTCCTAGACCCCAAACTCCAGAATCGCCCACCCAGAGTTAAATCATTACTTGTTAGTAGCTTATCTTGCTAGAAAAAAACTATCCTGGCTCTTTATCCATTTTGCCACCTTTGTCAACATTTCTTGGCAACCTTCCTATCGCCCAGGACAAACATATGTTAAGGATGAAATGACCAGACCCCCCGCTCCTCCTTCGTAAGGCCTTGTGTTCATTTTCTACTGCTTTGTAACAAATGAGACCAAGCCTCGCGGCTTAAACCTGTTGGTTTGCTCGGGTTCTGGGGGTCAGAAGCCCGGCTGGGTGTTCCGAGGCTCACAGGGCCATGATGGAGGGGGGTGGGCAGGGCTGTGGTCCTTCCCAGAGGCCCCGGCACACTCGGGTTCCTGGCAGGAGTGGGTTCCTGGTGGCTGCAGGGCTGAGTCTGTCTCCTCTTCGTGGCTGTCACCGGGGCTGCTCCCTGCGCCAAGGCCACCGCCTTCTGCTCCCGTGGCCCCTCGTCTAGCAAACCAGCATCGTGTGTTGTGTCTGGTCCTCCACACACTCCCCACCCCTCTAGCCTCCCCTTCTGCTTCCGAGGGCTTCCGTGATGGATCATGACCTGCCCGTCTGGAGGTCAGCTCTGCCCTAGAGCCTAGTACCGTTAGGGCTGGTGGTTCATCCTTCCCACAGGCTGTGAAAACTGGGGCACAGACCTTGGGGGCCACACCTGGAATTCCGCCTCCCCCAGCCCATGTTTTTAGAGTTCACCGTCAGCAGCCCACAACCAAGCTCCAGGAGCGCTTACCTGGCTGAAGTCTTACCCCGACGAAGGAAGCCGTGAGGCCAGTTGACGAGTTTGTAAGTGGCTGGCGCTGTGCTGGCCCCGGAGCCCAGGAGCCCACGTGCACCCCTCCAGGAAAACATCAGAGCCACGTGTGTGAGAGCAGACAACCCTCATCACTCAGTGGGACAGAAGGGCCCCCTGTGGGTCACGTGCTCCCTGTTCCTCACCTGGACGAGGTATACCCCAGACCTAACTGTGAGGCTTCGGGGTATCTTGAACTTCTGCTCCCCACCCTTGCCCCTGGGATTAGGATGCAGACGTGGAGGCCCCGGGGCCTTCTCACGTGTTGGGAGACATGGCTGCAGGTGTGGGCTCAGGCACCCACATCAGGTACCCACTGTCCTTTGGAAGCACAGGCCTGCAAGGAGGAGGGATGTTGTGCGTGGTCCTGCCACCCCAGGGGTCTCGGCTTCACCCCAGGGCCCCGAGGTGCTGAGACTGGAAGTGGGATCCTGAGTCCCCCCTACACCAGCCCTTCTCACCTAGGCATCCTTGACAAAGGGTGGGCTCTGATTCGGGAGGGCCGGGTGTGGCCCGAGATTCTGCGTGTCTAACAGGCCCTCAGGTGATGCCGATCTGCTGGTCCATGGGCCACCGCGGGTGGCGGGGGCTAGAGACGCGGGGTCCCACCAGCCACCTTTACGGTTCCTCTGTCTCGCCAGGGAGCCTAGGTCAGGGCCTGGCTCTGCCTCTGAAGTGGGGGATGGGCTTGTCCGAGTGTGGCCGCCTGTCCTCCACCAGTTGCTGAGAAACCCCGTTCCTGGGCCCGGAACCTCCATTCGAGGCTGGGGGCTGAGTGTCCGGCCAGGCCTTCCCCTGGGCAGGGCCGCTTCGTCCCAGTGGTGAGTGGGTGGAGGCCCTCAGGCCAGCAGAGGGCCCTTGAGGGTCCTCTCAGGCCAAGTTTCTTCGGCCTGAAAAAGACCCCTCCACTGGGTGAGGCTGTGTTTCCCTCCCACGGGAATCCTGCAGGGGCCTGGGTTCCCTGTGTTTCTGCCACCAGGGCTTGACTAGAGTGTGTATAATGAACAAGTAAGTAACTGTGTGGGAGTGTGTAAACAGACGCATATATAGGACATGCGTGTATATGTGTGTATGTGCGTATATGTACTCTGTGCACATGTATGATTGAGTTAATGTGTGCATGTAACATGGTTTCTATATACTGTATACATTTAATATAGTGTATATTAAAACACGAATATTTACACATATTTAACATACTGTGTATTATATAATATATACACCTATATTAACACATGTTTATGTGCATATAACATACATGTAGGTTGCATACATGTATTTATTATATATACCTATGCATACTATATGTATCTATATGTCTACATACATGTAAATTGTACTTATATTCTTAGCTCTTATGAGAAGAAAGCCTTCTTACTACTGACTGACAGAAAGAGAAACAGTTACATGTGTATGGAGGTAAATACACTTCCCTGGAGCACAAACTGAAACAAAATACACCAAAATATTAGTATGTTTATCCTAGGTGAAATTATTTTTTGTTTTCTCTACATTTTCCATTTTAACACAATGTGCATTTTTATTGCCTATGTAATTAGAACAAATGTATATACTTAGTTCTAGGTCTGCAATACTGGGCAATGACTTTTCCTCCGTCTGACAGTATTAAGCTTCCTAAAAAGCTTGATTAGCACTATATAACTCAGTATGGTCTCAACTGGTCTCAAAGCAATCACCATTTCATAATACATAAAAATACTGAAGCGCTATGCTGTGCATCTGCAACTAATGTCATATTGTATGTTAATTATAACTCAACAAAAATAAAAATTTTTAAATAAATTTTTAAAGGACTATAACTTGAGAGCAAGTTCTCTGCTTTTTAGGAAGAGTGATGCTCAAAGGGTTGCTCTGTGCTCAGAGTCCTAAGCTCACGCCTTTGCTTCATCCCCTGACTTTCTGGCTGATTTTGAAAACGTCGCATAATCGCTGCGACAACAGGTTCAGGTGCAGGGAGTGGTGTTTTGTTAATTCGCTTCTATGTCCTCAGCACCTGAAGCAGTGCCAGCACAGAGCGGTGTAGTGGGAGTTCAATAAATATTTGTTAAATTGATGAATAGACCTACCCACCACGAGCCGGGGAAGGCTGTATTTAGACCACATGACAATGGAACAAAAGATGGGGAAATGTCCAGAAATACTGGCTGAAAGAAGAAGGGATACAGTTCTTACCCCTTTGTTCAGAAATGGAAATTTCAACTGGCTAAAATATGGACGATCCTTACCTGAACGCTCCTGGTGCTCGAAATCACTTAAAAAGCACATTTCTGCATCACTCGGTGTGTTTGAGGAGTTACATTTGTTATATTACATTTAAAGGTGCGTTGCAGATGATACTCTGAATTTCTGCTTTGTTGTTGTCAGAGTGGAGCTGTAAGTTAAAGAAAGCATATCATTTTTAGTGATAGTGAAAACCGTTTTCTAGATATAATGCCCTTCCAGTGTCAAGTCAGAATTTTTAAAGCAGCTGAGAGAAAAAAACTCAAAACTCACTGGTGTGAACTTACACTGCTTGCAACTTTCCCTCACCAATATCATTTGCTAAGCTCTCGCAGTCATAGTTCTGACCTCATTTTCTTCTCTTTTTTATTTCCTGAAGAATGACAGAGCCAGACTGAAGTCATTTCTCTCCCCATTCTTGTGTTTCTTTGTTTCTTTGATTGGGTGTTTTTTGTTGTTGTTGTTGTTGTTGTTGTTGTTGCGGTACGCGGGCCTCCCACTGTTGTGGCGTCTCCCGTTGCGGAGCACAGGCTCCGGACGCGCAGGCTCAGCGGCCATGGCTCACGGGCCCAGCCACTCCGCAGCATGTGGGATCTTCCCAGACCGGGGCACGAACCCATGTCCCCTGCATCGGCAGGTGGACTCTCAACCACTGCGCCACCAGGGAAGCCCTGGGTTTGTATTTTAAATGAACCAAGTCTCTCTCTCTCTCTGTCTGTCTGTCTGTCTATCTGTCTCTCCCTCCCCCTGGGAGGGCATCAGGAGGACTGGGTGGTCAGTGAGGGGATGCCGAGGGCCCCAGGTGGATCCATCCCTTATCACCACAGTGCAGGGTTTAGGAATGTGTGGAATTCCAGGAAGCATTTGGGATCCAAGGATCTGGCTGTGTTCTGGATGGTGCAGCATTTGAAAGCCCCTCACAGAAAACTCCCAGACAGCCTCGTTGCTTTGTAATCCAGCCAGACACAGCCATTGTTCTCATTGTTCACTCACCACCGCCAAACCTTAAATCTAAACAGATGCATAGCAGCTAATGGAGAGAGACTCCTCTTTTCTTACAAATGTGTTCTCTTTGCTTTATTGCGCACCTGTAAGTGGGATGCCCTTAGATTCTCAAAAACAAATAGACTGGTCCGTCTGATTAGATTGTTCATAGTTATGTCATTACTGTTGATACTAATATGTATGGAGCATGTGATGTGTGCCCTGCACTGTTCGTGGCATCAAAACAGAGTGATGAACAAGCTGGAGAAAACACTCGTTCTTATAGAGTTTATATTCTAGTTTGGGGGCAACTGAAAATAGTGAGGAAACAAATAAACCTGTTAATTTCAAATAGAAAACATTTGCTATGAAGCAGATAAATGCAGGTGATGGGAAAGCAAGGAGTGGGGTGGGAGAGGATCTCAGACTGGGTGATCTGAGGGGTCTGGTGACATTTGTGTTGTGAGGTCACCTGCTCAACAGGGCAGACACAGCCACAAGCTCTATCCAGAGGGAAGCACAGATGCAAAGTCCCTGAGGCAGAGGGAGGCTTGGAGCCAGGGGAGTGTGTAAGTAGGGGGAGTGGCAGACAGGAGCCAAACCAGTCAATGATTTGCCTTGTGGGAAGATGTGGTTTTACTCTGAGGGCACCGGAAGCCAGTGGAAGGTTCTAGAACGCTTTGCTTTCTGAGACTCTGGCTGTCAGTGGCACGCAGATGGAGGTGGGGCAGGTGAGGGAGGCTGGAAGTCCCCTTAGGAAGCCAGGTCTTCAGCCAGGTCATAGATGGAGGACCTGGTCCAGGGAGAGGCCATGGGGATAGGAGGATGCAGACGGATCGAGTTCCCTGGGCAGGTGGCCAGGGTTGAGGTGGGGAATGAAAGAATGGAGAGTCAGGAAAGATTCTGAGGGTTTTGAGTCCAGTAACGTGCAAACTTATGTTGCCCCAATCCCTATCCTAATGGTTCATTTAATTCTGCCAGCAACCCTCAAGCTCAGTGTTTCTGTGTCCACATTTTACAGATGAGGAAACTGAGGCTTAGGGAATTTAAGTAACCGAGGCACTCGACTCCGGCAAAACGGGGACTGGACCCAGCGCTGTCTGATGAGAAAGCCCCCATCTCCCCCTAGAGACCACCCTGCCGTCTAGGGAGACCAGGGGCCAAAAGTGGCATTGTGTAACTTTACTCTGCAGTTTTCCTCTTAAATAGTTTTAGGAAACTGTTTGGAGACTGGTAAGAGACGTATGAATAAGTGCTGGATGCTAGCATAAAATTATAAAATAAATTGTAAAATTATAAAATAAATTTTATTCATACTATTCAAAATGTAATTTTAAAAATACCTCCTTAACTCTGGAGGGAATATAAAATGGAATAATCATTTTAGAGAACAGTTTAGTAGTTCGTTACAAAGTTAAATAAACACCCACCCTATGACTCAGCAATTCGACTCCTGGCTCTTTGCCCAAGAGAAATGGAAACACGCCCACAAAAAGACTCCTACAAGAAAGCTCTCCGCCTCTTTCCTTGTAATACCTGAAAACTGGCAACAACCCAAACCCCGCCCACGGAAGAATGGATAAACAAATCGTGGTGTATTCACAGGATGGGACACTACAGAGCAATTAGGAATGAATTACACATGAATGAAACTCAGAAAACATTACGTTGAATAAAAGAAGGTAGACACACAAAAACAATACTATATGATTTCATTTATTTGAAGCTGGAGAACAGGAAAAACTAATCTATGGTGGTAGAGGGGTGGGATGTTGACCAGAAGGATGCACACAGAGAACTTTCTGGAAGATGGAGATCTTGATATTTCTTTTTAGAGGTGAGTTAGCACTGAAGCAGGATGGTAATAATGGACAAAGGAGAACTACTGTGTTTTTCAAATCTGAGGCTACAAGAACTCGTGGTAATGTTGTCACCAAAACAAGCATTTATGGGTGTCTCTGATATTCAGCACTCAGGCAGCACTCAGAGATGGTAGGATCAGGTCACCACTGACAGATCCATCATCTTGTCCATGGCAGTAAGTAATTAGAGCCAGGAAGCAATTATGGATTTGCAAATCCATAGCAGCTTGGGATGCAGACACTCAAGTGGTGTTTTGACAAGCTTGAGAGCTTTCAGATGGTCTTTCAAGATTTCAGCAAGTTGACAGAGGATGTTGGTCAATTCCACTAGGTGGCGCCGTGCCCACTGATGCCTTAGAATCTGGGAAGATGTAGCTGCCTGTCCATGGGGAGAAGGACCCAGAGGCAGCTGGCGGTCTCTACCTCCCCTCCCCCACCTCCATCCGGACCCCTCACTCTCCCCCCACCCCGTTTGTATCCTGAGAATCCTCCTCATCCTTTTCCACCTGGCTCCAGTTGCCTGACTAGCAGGTGGCAGTGGATAACTTTTTATTCCGCTTGGTTTTGTTGCTGGTGGAAAGCCATTTGAGTCTACCGGGAAAAGAGCAACATGGTCAGGCTTATTTCACAGGCCTTCCGTTAGCATGTAAATGTCCGGGGACAGCCGTGCAGAAGGTTGAGCAGAGAAATGTAGCTCGCTGATTTTTTTTTTTTTTTTTTTTTTTTTTCTTTTT